ACCCAACGGACTCGGTTTTTTTTAAAAAAAAAAAAAAAAAAAGCTGGTGGGACGCGAGACGGGACGCGGGACGCGGGACGCGGGACGGGATGGGACGAAACGGGATGGGACAAACGGGACGAAATGGCCGTCCCATCCCATCCCGTGTCCCGTTAAACATTGGCCCATCCCATTTAACTTGAAGCGGGACGGGACGGGACGGGACCGGGACCGGGACGGGACGGGCCGTCCCGTCCCGTTGGACAACCATACCTTCATACCAAACACACCTTAATGTCCGCTCAAACACAATCATTTGATAAGGGAATAACTGTTTATAACAAGACCTATGATAACTTAAAAAATAGAATAAAGAACCATTATAACAAATTAAACTACATTAATAAAATATATTTATACAATACCAATTAGTGGCAAAGCCTAAAACTTTAACAAGGGAAATTCAAACTCTTAACCTTAAGTTAATCAAGGGCTGAGTTCAAAAGTATATAGAGCGTAATTTTTTCCCTATTTATGAATTTACAATAAAAGGGATTCAATTGGACTCTTTTCATTGGCTATGGCTCCACCACTACAATCAATATAAAAGGGGCAATTCGCTGCACAAAGTATTTTGCATTCTCGTCGATTCTGAGAAAATACCGCATCCTAAGAGGTGTAATGTAGACAACCTACGCTAATGCAATATTAATGATTGTTTCCACGGGTTGAACCCGTAATCTATAGGTCACAATCAGGATATATATATATATATATATATATTAATTTTCAAGTGTATATAAGGTAAATCCTTTCCCTACACCTCTGGCTTTTATTCCTTGTGTTATCTTTCAAATGATAGAAGACCAAAAACTAACTAATTGTTACACTCTAAATGAATCTCACATCGACAAAACACGTCAGAGATGTTGGGTATATAAGTAGACATGCCTTAGACTTTAGAGACGCTTTTTAAAATCGCGCAGGCCTAGATCCGATGTAGATAATATCACTAGTGAGCTGGGCTGTTACATATGGTATCAGAACCACTTCGCATGCAACCTTGAACGTTGATGGGACAAACCTCAGCGAGGATGCTGAGTCCCTAAGGCGGGGTGTATGTGACACCCTAAATCCCATGTTGATAAAACACATGAGAGATGCTGGGTATATAAGTATGTATATGCCTTAGACTCTAGTGGCACATTTTAAAGTCATGCGTAAGAGTGTACTGTGGGCCGGGCCCAGCCCGGAACCGGCCCGGGACCGCGTGCCAAACCGACCAAACGGGCCTAACGGGCCAGTCTCAGTGGGCCGGTCCCAAATGGTGCATTAAGCCCGTAGCGGGCCGGTCCTACACAAATAGCCCATGAGCCCGGAACCGCTAAGCCCGGGACCGGCAGGCGGGCCTGGGCCGGTTCAACCGGGCCAAACGGTTCTCAACGACTATATTTTTAAAAAAAAAAAATTAAAAAAAATGACTAACGGTCAGATTTTAAAATCTAGCCGTTGGCCATCAAAAAAGAGTCGTTTGGGAGTTCAAAAAATAGTCATTTGGCCCCCAAACTTTATTTTAACCCCAAACTTTATATAATTACACTTTTTCCCAATTCTCAACTATAAATACCCCCTCATTCTTTCATTTTTACGCACAAATTCATCAATCTCTCTCAATCTATATCTAATTCTCTTCTATAATTGCTTACTTTATTATTGCAATTTCGTGAAAAATTGTGAAGTTGGTGAATTGAAGTATTCAAGTCTTCAAGTCTTCAACGATTTTCAATTTTCAAGAAGTTGTTCGTCAATTCGGTAAACTCGTTCCAACTCTTAAGTTTTAAGAATGTAGTTTTGTTTGTTTTAATTTGTATAATTATAATTAATATGGTCTTTTCTTTGAAAAAAATATTTGGTGGTAAGGGAAAATCTAAAATTGGTGAATCTAGTCGCCAAGCTACTACCCTTCCCCCGGCTCCCCGACCCAGACCTGTTACCCGTCCTCCTCCACCTATTATTCTTGATAGTGATAACTCTTATTTTCAATTTTTCGATAGTGAATTTTGCCATGATGTTGCACCAGGTCAACAATTAAATGAAGAAGTTATGNATTTTTCCATCGAGAGGCCTTCTTCTACGCCGGGTCGATGCGAACATGTGTCCCGGTTCATTAGCGTTGTGAAGGATATAGGCAAAGTGCGGGCTGACTGCCAGTGGGGGAAGAAAGTGATGGTTGAGATCCCTAGCATTAGCGAGAGCATAATGGACCATAAGCCCGATTTTCTTTATGTATACACGTACCCATTCACCTTGGGCCCTGTCGACTCCTCGAACCCTTCTTCTCCGGCTATAGACCCGGTCATTCTCGACTTCTGCTGTAAATACCGAGTGACGCTCGGCCAAATTTACCCCTCTTTCTGGAGGATAGTCTACATGCTTCGCTACTTTTCCAGCAAAGTCAAGGATGCGACTTTTACTCTTGATCATCTGATCAAGCTGTACAGCCCCCGCCTTTTCCGAGGCCTGATCAAGCTTCACCCTCGATCTTTGAAACCCTTTTTCTCGAGTATCGATGAGCACAAGGATCAGGGGTAGATGAGCCAATTTGTCCGAGTAAGGACCTCGGACATTATCCCGGCTGAATGGATACCGTTTCCGGAGGAGTGGAACAAGAAGCGTAAGTGCTTCTTCTTTTAGTATGCTTTATTGTCTTTTTACTTTCTGCTCAAAAACTAACTTTCCCTTTGTTCATGCAGCCGCCCTTTGGTATCCCGAATCTGTTCTGGACCTGTTGGGGTGGATTAAGGGACTAGATGCCTCATTCTCCTATCTCGAGCGTTCTTGGCCTGAGTTGGCTAAAACACGGTGGGTGGCCAAGAATCATGGTAAGGACCTTCTTGCCGCCTCTGTCATGTTTTCATATTTCTTTCCCATATTCTCTGTACTGATAAAATTTGATTACTACACTTGTGCAAGCCTTGGGTATAGAGTGCAGATGAAACCGCCCCCCGCCGGCAAGGGAGAAAAAAGAGGAAAAAGGGGATGGATGCCGAGTCCCTTGTATCAAAGAAGCCCAATTCTCGCAAGCCTCAAACTGGGGTCGAGGTCTCGTCTTCATCTTCCGGAGCAAGTTTCGATGGCGAGGATGAGGATGATGATGGCGACAATATCCCTTTGGTACACAGGAAGAGATCAGGCACAGATGCCCCCCAAGTGTCTGTGGCGAGGGTCGCCTGAGTCGGGAATGGCTGATTTGGCTCGAGCTCATGCTTCAGGGGACCTTGAGAAGGGCGCGGATACGGCAACTAAATCCTCGACCAGACCTGGCACGGTCCCTGCCGGGGAACTTGCTACTGTCGGCTCCAAAGGGCCCGAGCCGGGAGCTTTTCGGGGATAGGACTTGCCCTTCGGGTTTTTTGATGTTCTAGAGGGCCTTAATTTGGGTCCCCGATTCTCATCTAGGGAGCTTAAGGATGCACGGACCCAAAGGTTACCAATGTGGGGGGTCCCCTAGAGGGAGGAGGTGATCTTGACAACTTCCTCGACGGCGTTGGTAAAGACATTGATCTCGACGCTCCCAATGATATTGAGGAAGCGGGGAGGCTCCATCAGCAGGTGGTAACCTTTTAACGCATACCTTTAGTGCTCTAAGTATTCCTCCCTGTTTTTCTGACTCTTCCGTTTTGCTATAGGCCAAGAGAATGTACGAATACGCTATCTCTAAACTGCGAGATGAGCATAAGAAGGAGGTCGAGGTTCTTGTCTCGGGTTTAAAGGAGTCGGAGGCCCTTTCCGGCCGAAAGAAAGAGGAGCTGAGCATGATCCATGAAAAGTTGGAAGAAGTGAGCCAAAACAGAGACAACCTTGCTGAGCAGGTAGTACTGCATTTTGCGAACCTTCTTATTTTAACCTGATACTTACCAGTTTGTTTCACCTTTCGTAGGTTAGGAAAAAGAACGCTCTCGTGGGGCATCTTCAGGAGGAGATAGCAGTCAAGGAGAAAGAGCTGTCGTTGTCCCGAAACCTCTTGGAGAGTGCCAAGGAGGAGATTGTCGCGCTGTCGTTGGCCAGGTTTGTGGCGGAGGAAAAGGCATCCTCGTACAGGAAAGACGCCGTTACTATGAATGAAAAGGCTCGAGACATACTAGCGGGGGTAGAGCAGAAGCTAACTCGAGCTGTTGCTCGTGCTCGTGCGCAAGCACGGAAGCAATCCTTTGAGGAAGCGAGTGGCAAAGGCGACAATTTCTCAGTCGAGATTGAGGAGGCATGAATCATGGAGGAAGAAACCTCTAGGTCGAATGACTCCTGGGTGCTGGTGCGACGGTATCACATGAGCGATATGACCGTAAAATGACCGAGGTGGCCCCCACCAGTGCATTTCCTAAGAAATGATACTGAAATGGTCAGATTTTATTGGTCCTTAGGGCAGGCGAACAGTCGCCGCCTGCTCTATATATGTATTTGCCTTCTCTTCTCTTGAAACCACTGCTGTATTAGGTGACTATTTTTACAGGGTTTTTCCTTTATGTGCCAAATTTCCTTCAACTCAGATCTTTCGCATGTGTCTTCTCATTTCCCCTTTCCTTGCTTTACCATAACCATGGCCGCTGTGCCTGCGTCTGCTTGTTAAGAAGAGGAGGGTTCTTCCTTAGTTTCGTGCTCGGTCGGTGGTACACTGCCGGCGTCTGGCGAGCTATCATCGAGGTGCTTTGTCTCGAAGAGGGACTTTTCATTAGCAAAACCTCCCAATGTCTTGGGACACCGGGAGCATGCGTCGAGGTTTATCTCCTCGATAAGGGAGGAGCATCTCGAGGCAGCCAGAGAAGACTACGGATGGGGGAGAGAGATGGTGTTGCAGGCACCTTCCCTGGAGGGGAGCGTCATGGCTCATATTGAGGGGTTCTTGAGCGTGTATACGTACCCCTTCACATTAGGTCCTCTCGACAGGATCGTGCTCGACTTTTGTAGAAGGTATCAGGTTACCTTGGCGCAGGTTCACCCATCCCTTTGGAAGATAGTGTTGACGATAAGGTACTTTGCGGACCAGGCCGGGCTCGAATTCACCCTCAGTCATCTTGTCAGCTTATATCGGCCTTTGCACTACAGGGGCTTGATTACTCTGTGACGTCGATCCATCCGGCCCCTCGTCGTTAACAACGAAGAGGATGAGGACCGGGAGTGGGTGAGTCAATTTGTTAGAGCACGGATAGTCGATATTATCCATGGAGAGTTTCTGCCATTTCCTGAGAAATGGAATTTCACACGTAAGTGGTACACTTGTGCTTTTACTATTTTTGTACATAGTGGAGGCGAACTCCGTGAAGATGTTCTTCTTTCAGCTTTCTGTAGAAGTCCCTTGGTTGCCGGACGAGGTTCCTGATCTGGCGGAATGGTCTCGTAAGCTGGCAACTTGCTCGACTTATGACAAGTGCAAATGGCGTGACCTGTCCAAGGGGAAATGGGAAACAAATCACTATGGTAGATGCATAGTGGCTTGTTTTCTCAGAAAGGTACTTTCTTTACAACGCACTAACTCTGCCAACACAGGTATTGGAGAATTTTTCGAGATGAGGCCGTGTTCCCTGGGGAAGGAGGAGAGATTGCCGACCTCGGGGTCGAGGATTGATAACAAATGGAAGGAGCCTTTAGGGTGTGAGGATGCTCGCAGCAAGGCGAGTCCTTTTCTGAGGTTCAGAAGAGATGAGTCGGCCGAGCTTACGGCCTCTAAGGCCTCTATTCTTGAAAAAATAGTTCTATCCTTACCGCCATTTCCTGTTCCCACAGAAGGTTCTTTGAGGGACAAGGGTCATCCGCCGCCTCCCTCTTCTCCTACCAAAGGTACTTCGGGGGAAACTAAGCCATCGGATGTATGCTCGACCTTTGGTGAGTCTCAGCGGCTTAGCTTCATGGTAAGCTTTGACAGCCGACATAGGCTTCTTTCAGTGTCGCATCTACCTTTTCTTATTGAGCTTTCTTTTGCAGGCCTTGGACAAGCTTAAGTCCGAGCTGCTTCGTCGTGAGGCCAAGCTGTGGAAAGCTTTGGATGGGGAGAAATCCCTTAGGCTTCTTTGTACGAAAAAGGAAGAAGAGCTAGCGTGACTACTTTATGAGGCGGATCGAAGTCGGAACCACGAGGATTATCT